ACACACATATACTCACTCAACCAGACACACATATACTCACTCAACCAAACACACATGTATTCACTCAACCAGACACACATATATTCACTCAACCAGACACACATATATTCACTCAACCAGACACACATATATTCACTCAACCAGACACACATATATTTACATATATTCACACAACCAAACACACATGTATTCACTCAACCAGGCACACACTCAACCAAGACTCAGTACACACACTCATCCAAACACACACACACACACTCACTTCACCAGACACATGTATACCCACTCAGTCAACCAGACACACATATACTCACTCAACCAGACACACACTCAACCAAGACTCAGTACACACACTCAACCAGACACACATGTACTCATTCAACCAGACACACACGTACTCATTCAACCAGACACACACTTAACCAAGACTCAGTACACACACTCAACCAAAACTCAGTACACACACGCAACCAAACACACATGTACTCACTCAGCCAGACACACACTTAACCAAGACTCAGTACACACACTCAACCAGACACACGTACACTCACTCAACCAGACACACATATACTCACTCAACCAGCCACACACTTAACCAAGACTCAGTAAACAGTACACACATTCAGCCAAACACACATACACTCACTCAACCAGACACACATATACCCATTCAGTCAACCAGCCACACACTCAACCAAGACTCAGTACACACACTCAACCAGACACACATATACCCATTCAGTTAACCAAGACTCTGTACACACACCAAACCTAATATATGTACACTTACTCAACCAGACACATGTACACTCTCTCAACCAGGCACACACACAGCCAACACTCAGTGCATAGTACACACACTCAACCAAACACATGTACACAGTCAACCAGACATGTACACTCACTCAACCAAGAAACACACACACACTTCCTAAACAAAACACACATTCTCAACAAGACCCACACACTTCTCAACTACACATGCACATTCACTCAACAAAGACTCACATACACACACTTAACCCAGCACATACACTCAACGAGGCATGTGGAAATTCTTGCCCACCTACTAGCCACTAGGACTCATACCCAGAGGAGTCTCCCAAGGAACCCCCAAGAATGTTCCTGGACACAGGAGCATCCAAGCCCAGAGAACGCCCTACAAATACACTTGCATAGCCCCACACCACGCACACAACCCCTCATAGCCCTCACGGCCCCACACGGCCCCACAGAGCCCCTCATGGTCCCTTACGGCTCCTCACAGCCTCACCTGGCCCCATAGGATCCTACTGCCCCTCATGGCCCTTTTCTGCGGGCACACTGTTGCTTTAGAAAGGCGGGAGATCACTCTTCCTAAGTGTGAACTTCCCTCCTAATTAGTACCCACGCATGCAAATCAGAAATGTGATTCTCTAAGGGTATGGATTTAAAGGGTTAAAGTTTCACACACTTTGGGGCTCACAGGCTTGGATGTGATCATTTTGGCTTTCAGACGGAATCAGATCGGATGAATTCCGTGTTAGTCTGACAAGTCTCGAGTTCAGCTACTCCGATCCCACATCTTATTTATACGTGATGGAAACACATAGAGCCAGAAGATTCTGACCAAAGCTAGACATGCGGGTATCCCCAACTGTGCATAAGTGTCTCAGACCTTCTCAGACATTCATCACACGTGGATATGCAAACCAACAAGGGCATGAACAAAGATGCAACCAGGTATACAAGACAGAGTTGGGTCCAGAGAGAAACCCACAGACAAAGCACATTCAGGAAAGACATTCAGACCCCCAGCCACAGACTCAGATCAGTGACCACATGTGTTCAGCAAAGGAAGCACACTGGACACACAGGCTGAAAGTGGACACAAAGCCACAGCCTTCAGATAGCTGGCTACACAGAGACATGGATGCATATCTTTCAGACCCAACTGTGCAGGAAGGGGAACCCATCTCCACATGGGTGAGGGTTTCCTATAAAGACCAAGCTAACTGGCTAGAGAACTAACTACTTGTACCCCCAACCCAGAACCGTATGAAGGAGAGTCTGGCCTTGTTCGGCACGATCCTGGAACTGCCCTGGTTCAAAAGCACATCGGTCATACTCTTCCTCAACAAAACCGACATCCTTGAAGAGAAGATCCCCAACTCCCACCTGGCCACCTACTTCCCCAGTTTCCAGGGTAAGTGGTTCTAGAACTTTCTCCATGTGTCACCTCTTAGAACCTCTGAGAGAGACACTGATCCACAGTCTGCCTTAGCTTTAGTGTCACA